ATATGATTTGAATAATGTTTGCATTCCTATACTGTGTTCTATAGCTAACTGGAACCCAGGATTTTACGAGGTGTAAAGAAGAAAGGAACAGGGACTATTCGTTACCTTTATATTAAATATATACCAGTCCTTTAGGGCGCTGCCGCTAAGAAACAAACATACACTGAATTCACATGTACGGTATGTAGGTTGGGCATAATAACATGACTTGCTCTCCGGAGGCTTGTTGTGCACACCATCAGGAAGATATAACCATTTCCCTCTATACATCACACAATGCCTACTGTGTATTTTCCATTGCCATTATTTTGTTCTCTGTTGGGCAATTCATGCTGTGACATACATTAGTGCCCTCCTGTGTCTCTTATTTCCTAGTGCTTTATGTGGTTGTATGACAGATCATATGTGTGCCTAGCTATGTATTCACTTTGTGTATTCAGTCTGTGTGTTTGCTATGTTAGTTTGCATATCAGTGTGTGCACTCTTAAGGTCAGAACAGATTTAGCCTGTTTATTTTTGTCAGAGTTGACAGCTGGCTCATTGAGAACGTTAATCTGGAGCTGCCAGAGTTTCTCTGTCAAGCTCAAAAACATTTATGACCTTGTTACTAAGGAGACTTGGCTCTTTAGGAGATGATGGTCCATTTATGTTATGTTTAATAAAACGTGTCATTCAGGGTCCATAGATGATATCTTATTCAGAAAAACTGTAGTAATTTTGGATATCATAGTATAAAACTGAATGTCTTAACTCTATTTGTCCACTGAGATTAACAAAAGTAATGAAGGACACTGTGGGGATTTACAACAGACATCACAACGCATGACAATCAAACAGAGCCACTCAACAACAATCCGTTTTCACTGCCCAAACACAAAATTAATGACATTAGATGTATAAACCTGACCTCAGTCAAAACATTTTTTAGACTGGTTAAAGCCTGTTCGAGGAAGTCAGAGCAAATCTGAGCTGATTTTGTCCTTTACTACAAAAAGGACACACATCTAGAGACATTTCTGTCATATGAAAAAAGTTTAATAGCAACCTATATTTTTATTAAACTATACAACAATACATGCTGTTGTGCGAGCTAGCCATACTCACTGCCTCATTGAATTAGATAGACAATAATGCAGTTAACTGTATGCATATGAGTGCTGCTATTGTCACGGCTACCTGAACTTCCTGCTTCAGGCTTTTGTTTTTCTCTTTGCGGTTCTCACTTACATTCACCTGTCTTCCATTAATGTAATCAAGGACTCAGTACTTTAGTCTCCAGCCAACATTCACAATCTGTCAGACTGTTTTGCAAAGAAGTTTCCAGCATCTGGGTCTTATCCTGCATTTATACATGTTCTCACAATATTCTCCACATTGCTTGACTGAGTTATTCACCAGTGATCTTCATTTAATGGATACTTCTCTCTCATAGTTTCTAGGTTCATCTTTTTTTCACCCTGTCTGTTTAATTTCATCTCCTACTGTACTAGCTATGTAAGAAATGTTTGAGTGATCTTTATGGTTTCACAATCCTGTACATGCAATCTCCATTACTCAGCACATTGGGAAAATTCTGGGGGGAAATGTTGAACAGGCAGTATTGTTTACTAAGCTATAGTGATATATTTTAATGATAAGGTCTTAATTTCTCAGCGCAATACATGTAATTAATCGGCAGTGGTTTTAACATTTCTATCCTGATACTTTACTCTCATTTGTGTGACAGCTCCACTATACACTGATTCAGTTTAAGACAGTGGCAATACAAAGAGGAAAGGTGAACCATCTGGAATTACCTGATGTTCTGCAATAACTGGTCATTAAATGAACTCATCTTCATCTAAGCGACAAGTATAGGCAATCACAATCTAGTAATAACATACAATTATAATTGTTTGTGTATTTACCAAACACACTAAACAGTCACAGTGCTGGTGGAAAAAGAGAGCCTTGGATTTAATAAGTGGTCAAACCTTCTTTGGGAGCAGTAACCTCTAGCAAGCACTTTCTTTAGCTGCAGATCAGACCTGTACAGTCCTGAAGGACCATTCTCAGTCATATTCTCAGGCTGTCTGGTGTGAACAGCCCTCTTGAAGCCATTTCACACCACAGTTCAAGTTCAGTCTCTGACTGGGCCACTGCAGAAGGAGTCATTTCTTTGCTTGAAGTCATACTGTAATAGATTTACTTCAGTGTTGAAATGCACCATCGTACCTTGAAAGATACTGTACCTTGATACGCCTGGGAATTCACTTTCCCCTAGATGTTAACCACCCTTTATGCCTGAAATTGTTAAACCTCTTTGAGTATTCTCACTTTTAAGGGGCATAACCACAGTGCTAAAACGTCTCCTTTTGTAGACAGTTTGTGTAACTTTGGACTGAATATCTCCATTGATACAACTTTTTGACCCTTTCCAGCTTTGTGCAAATCCACAGTTCTTGATCGTAGGTTTTCTTTCTGTAAGGCATGGTTCATATCAACAGATGCTGTGAATAGCTAATTCAAAATGTTAGAGCGTTTCTTTATAAGTCAAAGTGGATCGAAGCCACACCTCCAATTTTGTTCCATTGACTGGACTCCAGGTTTGCTGCCTCCTGACTCCAATTAGCTTTTGTTGATGTCATTAGCCTTGAGGGTCACATTTTCCAACCAACACTGTGATCGTGTAAATGATCAAATCAATATGGACAAGAACAAAACAATGATTTGTGTGTTGTTAGTTAAAATAGATTGTGTTTGGAAGTAATTCCAAAGGTTTCATTTACTTTGTCTTGCCATTGCACATGAGGAGAATATTAAGCTTTTAGAAGAGCGAAGTTGTGTGATGTGTGGACAAATGTAGTGATCTGAAATAATGAAAGACAGTGGTGAAAAACAAATACTACATATCAGTTTATTACTTTAGGCTTGTGTGTGCAAAGGCATCAGCAGCTCCACACAGGAGTAGGACTTGAGGAGATTAAAGCAGAGGCCAGGAAACAGAGAGTGAGAGAGAGAGCGAGCGAGCGAGCAAGGCATGTTTCCAAGGAAACAGGCTGTGCTAAGGACAAGGATGTTTTGATGGTGGTAATGTCAATATTCAGAGAGCCTTGCTCAAGCAAATGACCACTTCATTATTCGGCTACACAAAGAAACAGTCACATCTTAGGTTTTAGGAAATAAACACAGAGCCATGTACACCACTCATGTCTGTACAGCAAATATGAAGCTACATTTTACATTTTGTTTTTATACAGACAAGCTAGATGCACCACACCAAGCTGCACCAATGAACAATCATTGACAAAAATTAATATGATGGTTTGAAACTGTAAAGGAGCATGCAGTCTGTGCGGGTTGTACCACTGTCACCAGATCCAGTGCTGCTGTCTGCAGTTCAGATGTAGTAGACACTACTAAGGTTTGACATGTGTGTGGTATTTATGACTCCTTTCAGGCTAGACAGTCTACATTGCCTTGCACACTGGATTATTTAAACCTCTGACAGAAGGTGTTTTAAAGTTTGTCCAACTTTTTTTCTCTCTCTCTCTTTTCTCCATCTAGCTTTCCCACTTGTGTTTCACTAGGTGCCAAAATGTGGCTGTGTGCAGCAGGGCTGGAATATATCGCACATGGTGGAAAAGCAGAGGGACACTCTCTCTCTCTCTCTCTCTCTCTGTGGTAGAGGCCTAGACTTGGATTAATTCATGTGATTTGAATTAATAGCTCACTGGAGTGTGGTTGACGCTCTTTAGTATTACCCGCAAACGATGGCACAGCTCTAGCTGAGATCCCCTCTGCATTAGATCACCCACAAAGCCATATGGAGACGACAGATGCAGAACCAAATGAAATGATCTTGTCATCTAAATCTGTTTTTGTCTGTCTGATGTAATCTTCTCCAGGAGAGTACTTTAGTTACAACTTCTGCTCCCCTTGATTGGACTGGAAACAGTCTCATCCCTCATTTAACCCAAGTGCAAAAAAAAAAAAAAAAGACCCAGAAGTATCAGAAACTCATCGCCAGCCAAAATTATGCTATTTTGGGAGTTCACCGTCTTTGTCACTTTGTTCTACTCGCTCTTTCATCTAGAGAAAAAAAGTGAAGCCTCTCACTGTACCTCAGGACTTAAATGCTCTGTGTGCGTGTTTTAACTGAGGGTGTCCTTAGATTTCCACATGTGATATATTTATTCTATTGGTTTCTTGCTTGCAGTGAGACACTTCACCTTGAGCTCAATATGGGCTTTATTCAAAAAGTTAACTTAGTCAAGTAGCATGCATCTTATATTTAAATGGCAAGCATTATTGATGCAGAGTGAGGGATAAACTATGCTTTTATTTATGTAATTCCAGAGTTAGTCCATGTAAGTAACAACTCTGCATGAGCACCACATAGCAATTGACAGTGTGACCCTACCAGGTTATATAGGTATTGATTTTCTGCTTTGTGTTGGTGGCTGTGGTTTTTTCCAACCTGCTTAGTCTTGAGGCAAATCATTGTTTTTCTGTGCCTCTATGCTGCGTAGGCAATAGGCTGCCTTGATAGTGGCCTTATAAGGACTAGAAAATGTAATGAGTCTGGGGCACAGATTTTAAAACCAGAAACCAGAGGAATAGCAGAAACTTCCAGTTTAACTGAATCTGGTTTTCAGAAGACATAGTAAAGAGCTTCACCGTATTTTGACCTGATGACATATTGATTACCACATTTAAAATGTCAGCACTTAAATATGCTACATAGGGCATTTAACATCAATAAAACAAACAGGCAAGCTCTACCTGGTGTTTAATTTGGCACCTGGGTGAATGTTACAGAAAATCTGTGGTTCTTCCAGCCCTAATAAAGCATTTAAATTTTCTCACAATGGCAGTAAGAAAAATGTTGAATGAGTAATGTTTGTCCTCTGAACTGAAGCAAAACAGATTAATTTGGATGAACAGGTTTTATGAGGGGTTAAAGCCAACATTCAGTGCCAACACTTTCAGAGAAAAAGCAAATGATCATTTCATCCTGGGTCTTTATTTGTTGAATTATAATTGTTTTAATGGCAGAGAGGTAAGACAGACTGACAAGGAACACAGGAGAGCACACTGATTCAAGGATTTCATGATTTTACGAGTGCTAATTTGGCAATTACGATTTGATGCTCTAGAGATCTCACAAAACAAACCACTGAATACAGACAGGCATGAACACGAGTGCCATCAATCAAACAGTGCTAATCTCTATACTTGAAAAGGTTTAAAAGTACATAGCTTGAAAAGAAAAGAAACCTAACAAAAACTGGTATGACACTGAGACACTCATCTTAGTCATTTGGCATCTGGGGTGGGAAACCACACCTGGATGGAAACCACTGGCCTGAATCACTCAAATGCAAAAAAAACAATGTGTGCAATATACAGTATCGTAGTTTTTCCCAAAAGAGTAGAATATTCTCTCATAAGTAATGTTGATAACAATACTGCTCAACCCTAATAGTTCCCTTCTGCTTTGCAGCCTTATACACAGTTGACAAACCAGTATGGCTGTCATTTGAATAAGAGTCGCTGTATTTAAAAAAAAAAAATGCACAAATGAAAAGGACACAGCAGGTCTTGCACATCTAGCAAAACGCAATGAACTATTCATGTACAAATGATTAGTCCTAAGTGTATATTCTTTTATTACCATAAAATGAACTTTGAGGTTTATCCAGTTAAGGCATGTTTGATTTCACAGGAACTACAAGGCAGTGACCTTGAAACAAGGTGGAACTGTGTAGTCTGAGCTCTGGACAATTTGTCTCTCCAATTTCTCCGCAATTCCTGCAGTCCATCACTGTCATAAGCTCATTATTGATCAGAGACTGATGCAGCTCAGGTTCACATTTGTCTCCTCCCGCATCATCATCACTCTTACATGAACTTTGTACAGTGATATGTGCAGCATCAAAACTGTAAAATGCCATGTTCAAGTATGATTTCCAATAAAAGAGAAAGAATAACAATAGTTCAACTTAAATTGCATGTCAGTGATCAGGGGCAGGGGAACTTACTGAACAGACTTTGGTCCAGGCCAAGGGCCCCATACACTGAAGTGACCATTAACATTTCTTGTTGGAAGCTCAATCTAATACTACAAAGACAATGACAGCAAAGACTTGCAAAGCAACCTTGAAGAGGTGCAGAAGATTGGAAACAAGTTTTACAAGACGGCAAACAACTAAAAAGGGGAACAAACTGACAAAGAGCGACCACAAAGTAATGCAAAATGCAAAAAAAAAAAGATGGCAAGTTACAACAAAAACACAAAACTACAAAGTGATGAAAATGACAGTAGAGATACAAATTGACTGCAAAGAAACACAAAACACCTACCAAGAGAAATAAAACCACTAAGTGTCTTGCTTCTGTGCCAGAGGGTTGAGTCCAGAGGCTGGTGCTCTCACTCTAAACTCTGAAGAGCTCCATTGTACAAGCTGTAGGAAGCAGGAGATTAATCATTGTATTCAGAAATGTGAGTGCAAATGAAATGCCTCATATGAATGCCACAAACCATCTGACAAATGTCTGAGAACTGCTGTGCAGCATCCACCCATCCATCTCATTTAAATGAGTCAACAACTCCAGACTATTTAGATTTTGTGCTCAGCCAACACAGGGGGTTCCACCAAAGTGGACGCCCCCCCGGCAAGTTAGTTTTCTGGTGACTGACTCAGCGGGCTCTGATTATCATGAGAAGAATGAGGTGTAAATGTTCTCACTCCCTCCCCTGTTTATGTTCAGGCTACACCGTGGTTGGGGAATATCACTTCAATGCCAGTTATGTTTTTCTCTCAAACTGAGAGAAGCAGTTACCACATTATTTATAATATGACAGGCTTTATTTAGAATTCTCACAAGAATAATGTTAAACCTTCTTTGTTGGTACGAGTAACACTTAAACTGTGGCTCCACAGTGTAGACTGCCTCCTGCATTTCTTTATACAAGCAACACTTCACAGAAAGTAGGAGCACACACTGATTTTATATGGTTTGTCATTAGGCGGCACTCTTAAAGCGAGATGCCATAACACGCATCAGAAGCTAAAGAGGTTTGAAGCTATAGAAAAGCCATAAATGGCTTCACACCTCAAAGAGCTCAGAGACATGCTTTCTCATCTTTGCTCAAGCAGGAACCAATAGAAGCTCCCCTCCTTCAGCGAACAAGTAGAGCAGAGTACAGGTGGCGTTTAAAGAACACAACCTTTCTCTCTGCTGAAGATTATCTGTTTATCCCTGTGAAGGTCTCAGCCCAGGCCTTCACCATGTGAGGGCCTAAGCCACCACCAGCAGTAGAATTAGCTAGTACACAGAAAGACATTGCTGTGTTTAGGCACAAAAATGGCATTATTTGTTTAGGGGAAAAAATGACATGGTTATATTTAGACACAAAAAACAACATGGTTAGGTTTAGGAAAATATCGTGGCTTGGGAAAACATTCACTAACAAAAAAAAAACAAAACTCTTCATTACACACCAGACGTGTACTCCACTCTCCCATGTGAAAGGTTGCTGTTTTGTTTGACCCACCATCCACCCCAGCCACCTCCTACCTACTACGGACTCTCTCCCTTCATTGCGGGCTCTGATTATCATGAGAAGAATGAGGTGTAAATGTTCTCACTCCCTCCCCTGTTTATGTTCAGGCTACACCGTGGTTGGGGAATATCACTTCAATGCCAGTTATGTTTTTCTCTCAAACTGAGAGAAGCAGTTACCACATTATTTATAATATGACAGGCTTTATTTAGAATTCTCACAAGAATAATGTTAAACCTTCTTTGTTGGTACGAGTAACACTTAAACTGTGGCTCCACAGTGTAGACTGCCTCCTGCATTTCTTTATACAAGCAACACTTCACAGAAAGTAGGAGCACACACTGATTTTATATGGTTTGTCATTAGGCGGCACTCTTAAAGCGAGATGCCATAACACGCATCAGAAGCTAAAGAGGTTTGAAGCTATAGAAAAGCCATAAATGGCTTCACACCTCAAAGAGCTCAGAGACATGCTTTCTCATCTTTGCTCAAGCAGGAACCAATAGAAGCTCCCCTCCTTCAGCGAACAAGTAGAGCAGAGTACAGGTGGCGTTTAAAGAACACAACCTTTCTCTCTGCTGAAGATTATCTGTTTATCCCTGTGAAGGTCTCAGCCCAGGCCTTCACCATGTGAGGGCCTAAGCCACCACCAGCAGTAGAATTAGCTAGTACACAGAAAGACATTGCTGTGTTTAGGCACAAAAATGGCATTATTTGTTTAGGGGAAAAAATGACATGGTTATATTTAGACACAAAAAACAACATGGTTAGGTTTAGGAAAACATCGTGGCTTGGGAAAACATTCACTAACAAAAAAAAAAAAAACTCTTCATTACACACCAGACGTGTACTCCACTCTCCCATGTGAAAGGTTGCTGTTTTGTTTGACCCACCATCCACCCCAGCCACCTCCTACCTACTACGGACTCTCTCCCTTCATTTACCACAACCTCTTGCTCTGGGCATCAAATACTGATGCGAGTGGCTACTCTATTAAAAATCTCATCCCTATGAGATGCTAAAGGTACTTGACATTTCATCAGTATTTGATGCTCTGGGAATGAGAGGTATGTTGCATCTACAACATACCTGTCTGTTTTATTACGTCTCTTCTCTGCTTCTTTCCATTTCAGATAATTTTGAGAACTACATTTCTTGTATCCGTGTCCAGAGTGTTATAATGTTCAGACAGTTCTGTACATTATTTAATACACTAACTGAAACTGCTAATTTATGTTTACAAAGGATTCAATCTTTGCCAAAAGGAAAGAAAACCAAACAAACAGACAAGTACAGCATTTCAGACCTTTGCAGTAGACCCTGATCTTCCAGCAGTTTATGTTAATTAATGTGTTATACAGCTGAGCTCTTCTTGAATGACAGTCTCTTCCTCATTTGCTTCAGAGGCTCTTATCAAAAGTGATAGACCTGGCAAGATCAGAGTGCAGCCTTGTGGTTTTCCCTCTGGCGCTTTCTGACTGGGAAAGTGAGTTTTTAAAGGACTTGTGACAAGCACATTGCCTTTGAAGGGGATTAGTACTGTTACCATCTCATGTTGCACGATGATGTTCATAGCATATTGTCCCCAGAACTAAACTATATGGCTGACTGAACCCACACAAATTTCTGAGTTGTGAAATATTTGTTCTCACAGTTTCAAAGTGGCCCCTTGAGCCTTATAGTGCTGCACTATAATCATAATAAACAGCACCTCCATAGGCCCCCAAAAGCTGATGTTGATAAAACTTCTTAAGCGTTTTCTTCAGGTCCCTGAGGAAAGATTGATTGCAATGAGAGCTTTTAATATAAATATATTATCTCCCAAAAGTGATATGAAATCTCACTCCAAAAAATGCTGCTCTAACACTGTATCAATGAAGATGCGATCAGAGGTAATCTAATACTGCAGCACATTTAAAATTCTGCAGCTGGAGTACAGCTGAGTAAATGGCTCGATATCTTTTGTCTTAGGAAAACAGAAGAAATGTGATTGTTCCTATCACTGTGAATATTTTCATCACATTAGCTTTTGCTGCTGTTTCCTGGATTCGTTTTCAGAGACAGTTTGTTATATTTCAGAAGACACAGAATGATAGAAAATCACCACCACATTACTTTCACACCAGCTACTGTTATTCATCGCCAGAAAATTCACCACACGAAAGGTAAACAAGATTTCTGGTTGACAAAACAAGCTCACTACTAGGCCCTTTTAGCTGTGCTGGTCCTTTTAATCATATCACACCACATGATCTTTCTCAGCAGATGGAGATTAGCCAGTTGTCATGGAATTGTGGATTGTGGCCCACTCATGCCAACACACAGCTGTTTCTTAAATACAAGTCTAACCTAGAGTATAAAGCCTGATAAGAGCCTGGTAACAGATAACCTAGCACTGTTGGAAACCCAACCCATCAGCACATATAAAACTCACAAATTAACACTGTACAGTTTGTGTATTTAATCCATCTACTGTATAATTAAAGTGCAAAGAATGGCACGTTGTTGTTTTACAGGGGGTTATGTACCAGCCTGTTTTTTGGTAGTGAGAAGTAACTTTCTCAAAACTCCCAACAAATATAACCACAACTTGTCATTTTTATACTTCAGACTTTGTGAGAATAAAACAAAAAGGACAACATGTTAAGTGGTGAGGTTTTATGGTGCTAGGAGGCAGCATTTTGTTAACTTTCCAGTCTTTATGCTAAGATACTGTAGGTTAATCGTTTGCTGGATATAGCTTCACATTTAAAGATGGATTATGTAACTTTTTAAAAATATTTTTGTTGTAGAAATATGCTCTAAAATTTGTCTTAATGTGGAGAGGTGCTGTCGAAGCCTCCTGTGACCCAGACTCATTGAACAGCACTGGCATCAGTGCAGAGATATTGGCTTCTAAAAGGATTTGAATGGGATTAACATCTCTAACCAATCAAAGATTTTCAATTACCACTGCTTAATCAGTAAGTTTTGTTGCACACATTGTTCAGCATGACCTGATCTAGATAGTGATCATGGCTGGGTCAGGTAGTTAGAATAGTTTGCAAATGCGTAAATTAAAAAATAATGAGGCTGTAAAAGCAAACCTGAGCTTGGATGAGTCTCCATGGTGACGTAAAATCCCAGACAGCCTCTGTAGTCTCATTTAGCAGCTTGTTAGCAACCTCCTTTTTTAAGATGTGTCAAAGCATTAAAAATCACAAGTGGGACATTTACTAGTGCACTTTATTTTATAGAACTAAACATTAAAATGTATTGGATTTGGGTTAACCCATTCAAAAATCCCAGACTTCAGCATGAGGGAACCAAAAGTGCAAAAATGCTAACACAGTCCTGGTTTTTGGGACTCGCTACTACAATACTCTATTTTTACAACTAACTTTTGCCAAGAAAGCAAATAAGCTTATTTCCAAAAATGTCAAACTCTTAGTTTAAGGACTTCTCATGTATGATGATATTCTGATTTTCTGGAGCTAGGACAAAAAAAAAATCCATTGTCAAGAATAGATCAAGTTGTGGAGCTTTACTGTATAATGATGGCTGCCCAATAGCATTAATTCCCAATCAGTCTGATTGATTTAGAACTCTCTTCTCACATAAAAATGTTTAACTGACTACACCTAAAAACTACTACCATGCCAGTGACTTGGAGCTGTAACACAACTGTGTTGAAATTGATGAACAAAGGGCTGCTACATGTCTCGCCCCTTTCTTAAAGTCGAGTGAGTAAAGCGGGGTCTAGGATTAACAAGGACAGGTTGAATTACAGCTTGAGTTTGGGGGCAATTCAATAGGAAGTGAATCAATCTGAGGATTAATTGTTGCACCACATCCTGAGCAGCAGACACTCGATACAGCCAGAGGGAGACTGCTATAATGGAAGTGGAATACAGACAA